TGCAGAAGATTTTAATGAAGAATCTGTTGGGTTTGACCTGCACAGTGGATTGTGGGAGATCTCGTAGCTCCTTAGCTTCTTATGCTAAAGGAGCTCACGGTTTGTATTTTTCTTGGTTTATTAAATTGATTTAAGTTAATTTTTGCGCTTGCGCATTTGCAAGATTATGTCAAGAAACCAGGTTACTCCATTTGATCATGTATATGCGGATATGAGTATCCCGGTTTCTCAGTGTGTATATATACGCAGTAACCCGAATACTGACATAACCGGGATATGGCTAATAACCGGGTTATTGATGTGCATGTATACGCACTCATTGTTACTAGGTACAGATTGATTTTCAAAAGTTGGGCAAATGATACACCCTAATAAATATACTATGACATTATAAGTACAATTTATCTTAGAATTTATCATATAAATTGGAAAAAATCTAAGCTATTTTTGGTACTTTCGTTTGGTACTTTAAATGACTTGAAGCTCAAAGCAGACAACTTGGACTTGACTTATGGGCTAGTGACTCGAGATTCAACTTGGATTTGCCTGTATTTAACTTCACTTGCACTTGAGGTCAAAGACTTGAGACTTACTTGAGACTTGCAAAACCACGACTTGGTTCCACCTCTGCTAGATAGTCATTTGAAATATTTGAAGTATAAATACACCCATATTACACTCTTTTTTGATTTTAATATGTTGTTTCCTCATCACAAACAGACTTGGAGTTGTGTTTTGTTTCATTCACACATGTTTAACACACAAACCCTGCCTGAGTTCTTCTCTCAAATAGAAAAAAGTCTGTTCCACTTTGTGATCTGGTAATGATAAACATGGAAACAAAACACAAATCCAGGTATGTTTCTGAGGAGGTAACAGCATTATAAATCTCACAAGAGTCCGTTTTCCAGAATCTACACACATTTTATACACAAATCCTGCATATTTAGGTTTAGTTTAGTTTTTCTCTCAAATACAGGAAGTGGATAATTTCATCTCTAGAATTGCCAATCTCAACTGAACTACAAAAGTAAAAGGAGCTGTTAACTTCAGAACTAGTGGTTTGCCATTTTCAACAGCAGGTTGTCATTACAAATGTGCGAGTATAGGTCAAATTCACACAGCATCATTAAGAAAAATAGAAGAGGATCCACATTAGCAGTAATTAAGCTGACATTACACCCTATTGGACCCTGATGCTGCCTTCAGGTGCGGTGGGAATTATCGTAAACAGCTGTTGACTGGAAAATTGCTCATGAACTTGACAAGACAGATTCTTTTAAATTTGTGAACATCCATCTGAGCAAGGTTCAAGTGGTAGTTTTCAAGTTAGCTGCTTTTTTTAATTTAGTTCATTATCCATCCATCCATTTGCTTCAGCTTCCTGGTTCACAGATGATAAAAATGCTTTATAATAAATTTAGACAGTACACAGCAGACTTGTTTTGGCCTCAAGAGTTGCTTATACAATATTTCTGTACTGGGACAAAACAAATTTTGCTCAAATACATGCGGAAAAATCAGGTACATGGGCCTTTACTGTCACATTTGTCCCTGAAAGTATATATTTGTTGCGCACATTTCTAGCTGACATTGTAAATAAGCAGTTTTTAATGTTTTCCGTACCTGCCTGGGGACTGCAGATGGAAAGGAGTTTGTAGCTAAATCTGGAGCAGAGCATCTTTTTGTCTTTGAGATCCATGTAATCTGTGCACTGCCCTTTAAAAGTAAATAAGAAAATAAATAAAAGGTGACATTGCACCCTTTTGGACCCTGATGATGCCTTAAGGTGCTGTGGGAATGACCGTAAATATCAGTTGAGTGGGAAATTGCACATGAGCGGTATTTTCCACCGGAGAACGGGAAATAATCTGATACTCACATTGGCGAGATGAAATAACATTTGACCTCTCATAATAGCAGCAGGACGGCAGAGAATGAAGAAAATGTGACGTTTTTATGTTTGTATTTTAGTTTAAAAGAGCCCATTTCTGATCTACGTTATAAAGTTTCTTCATCACAAACATACCTGAAGTTGTGTTTTGTTGCATTCGTACATGTTTAACCTGTCTGTCTTCATTGAGATCCAATCCCGACCAAGTTACAGGTCAGATCTGTGGAGAGGCGACCCCGCTCAGAGTCAGAATGTCTGTTTTTCTAGGTATTTTTGAGCTGTAAAACCACCTGTAATTGAATAAATGAAAAGTAGATGTTTAATGTCACACTGTGGAACATTCCAGACAAAGCAATGACATATCCATAGAAACAAGCAGGTGACTGACCCCCAACCTAAAAGTTACATTCCACAACAAATCTCCAAATGCCCCCATCCAACCATCTCAGATTTGACTGAAAAAATTCTAGGAGGTTCACACACTTTGCACATGAAATCAGAGTGCTTTTTTTAGCTTCTGAAAGTGCTCTGTATGCACACACCACATTTTTGCAAAAATAAGGCAGAACACCAACACAAATTTTGGATATTTTAAAAACAGACGTCTACTCTTTCTAAAACAGTCCGTTTTATGTAGGTGGATGCTATAATTTTTTTGGTATAACATGGTAAAGACGGCACCAATTATTATTATTTTTTTCCATTTGGGTCAGGTCAAGTGGTAATGGAGGGAAACAGGGGCAGATTTTTTACATTCAAACAGCTCTTATTCAGAAACTAGAGGGACTATTGGAATAAGTAAAGTATCAGAATGTAGGAAAGAGTTACACTCCAACAGGGTAAAGTTAAACCTGTGATATTCTTTCAAGTTGTTGACAAAAAATTTAAAAGCTCATGTCGCTGTAACGGAGGGAATGAAATATGCAGCACTTTTTGGGCAATAAATACAAACAGTGATAACTCTTGGTTCTCACTTACATATCCTTAACAAACTGGTTTGAATATTTGCTTCATATAGTTTTCTACCATATGGTACAAGATTAGGTTGAAAAACCTCTTACTTTTTGACTCATGAGATTTTTTATTAAGAAAGGTCATGGTAACAGAGGGAAAAGTAACAGAGGGAAAATTGTGCAGCAAGTAGAAGGTGCATGATTTTACATAATTTGTCATCTTTTTTCTTCCGAATATTTTAATATTACTTCAAAATGAAAGGAAACTATTTCTATAAAATATGTCAGTCCTTCCAAGCAATTTTTAAAGCATCATTTTAATAAAAAATAAAATAAAATCATGTACCTTCATCAACAGTTCAAAGATCGAATAACACAAGATATGATGAAATACATCCATTTATTTACATGATTTGCAGGTGTTTGAAATTTGGGAAATAATTTTTGTTCCATGTTTCATACATGGTCTGTTTAAAACGTATGTAACTTTAGAACCAAAAACGGTACAAAAAAAAAAGGTAAACAGTTTCATAAACTAGAGTACATATGTATCTGTTGAATACATTTTTATATCAGATGCATTAACTTGAATTTTTGGCCTTGCTGTTTACTTCTGCTTGACCGGGCCCATTTATAACACTTAATATCTTCGTCCATTTTAAAATGCAAAGTCCACAGTGGCATGTGTGGGAAGGTGTATGTTCAGTATCAACCCTCTAGCTTTGAAATTGCACTTTCCACAGTCCTTCACAGATACCCTCAGATTTGAAGAATAAAAATTTCAAGCAAATTCAAGCCCCTAGAAATAGCAGTGTAAAAGTTCAGATTCTACAAATACATTTGCAAAAAATTTTAATCCTTGAAAATTTGAAGGATCGACCTTAGTTAGTTTTTTAGATACAGCAATCTGAAAGTGGCTCCTTAGAAAACTCTGCTCAAAACAGGTCAGGGGAGAGTTGACTAAAAAAATTTTTTATGACAAAACTATATTTAGTTGGGAGCTAAAATTTGGAACTTTTCTTATTGGAAAGTGTGTGAACTCCCCAAATCTGAGATGGTCGAGCGGGAGCATTTGGAGTTTTGGCGTGGAATGACCCATACAGCACATTTAAGTTCATGGCCATACTGTGATAAGCCTTTAAGACAGGGGTGCTCACACTTTTTCATCATGCGAGCTACTTACAAAATGACCAAGTCAAAATGATCTACCTACTACAAAGCCAAGCAAACTGCACTGAAACACTCTGTGCCCCTTTTTTGGACCCTCACCCACAGTTTGAGAACCCCTTCTTTTAGAGAACTTCCTCTGGCACTTTACACAAAACTGTGAAAAAAAGTGAAGGAAGCAGATAAGATTTTTAAACCTGTTTTTTTAAAGTTCCAAACTGGAGTTGCATTCTTTTCTGGTTTTGCAGTGATATTTACCAGCCTCTGCACGTTTACCAAACCAAACGCACATCGTGACAAACACAGATGCATTTGTGCACTTTTGTTAGACAAACTTCAGCCAAATGTGGCAGTAGGTCTGTTCTGTAGATCTGCTCTATGCTGTAGACCTGCTTTGTGCCAACACTGGAACACAAATTTAGACTCGTTTTTGCTTCACGTTTCGTCTTGCTCTTCTAATCAGCCGCACTGTGGGAGGGGCTTGTTTTCGCTGTACGCAGGAAGGAGCGAGAGAGTGAAAAGGCGAGGGGCGGCGTGCTGACGTGAGGCAGATGGACAGGTAGGGTGTTTAGGAAGTTGAACCTGCCCTGTGATGCACGCTGGTACACGAGGGCACACGCTGTCGCAGACGAGCTGCGCATAGGGAGTGTGTGTATTTGTGATGTGCCTTAGAGTCTCCGCAGGTTTCAAATGAGCACACAGGCTGCACTGAGACGCCCCACACTCTCCTGCACCCCGCTACAAATTTATTGCCAACAGCAGCGGCCGTAATGAAATATGATCAAGTGTCAGACCTTGAGTGAGAGACAAGACCGAATCCAAACGCGATTGAGTCCGAGACGAGTACTAAGACACGCCGATCTACCCACACGACCTTGGCGATCGACTGGTAGATCGTGATCGACGTATTGGGCACCCCTGCTTTAAGATGAAAAATAAATACATAAATAAACACATTTTCTCTTCTCTCCTCACTTTCCTTCCAGCTCCACTCCAACTCGGACAAAGGAGACGGCTCGGTGCGCTACATCCTGACGGGAGAGGGCGCCGGGTCCCTCTTCACCATCAACGAGGACACGGGCGACATCCACGCTCCCGTCAGCCTGGACCGCGAGACCAAAGCCCAGTACGTCCTCCACGCCCGGGCCGTGGACAGACGCACCAACCGCTCCATAGAGACGCAGTCCGAGTTCATCGTCAAGGTCCAGGACGTCAACGACAACGCGCCCACCTTCCCCCACGGGCCCTTCTCGGCCACCGTACCCGAGATGGCCGACGTCGGTACGTTCTGATGTGTTTATTTGTGTGGATTATGTCAAATATATGATGCAAGAAGACAATAAACGTAAATAGACAGACAGACAGATCAAAATTAGACACCTTTTCCCCTTTAGTGAGCTTCATAATGGCGTCTCCTGAAATGGTTTTCACTTCGCAGCTGTTCTCTCTCCCTTTCTCTTTTCCCCCTCTTTCTCCTGCTCTGTCCCCCTTTCCTCTTTTTCTTCCCTGTCTCTCCTCCCTTTCTCCCCTCTCCTACCCCCCGTCTCTTCCCTTAATCTCTCTTTCTCACCTCTTTCTCTCACTCTGTCCTCCCCCTTTTTCTTCTGTCTACCCAGCCCCACCTTCTTTCTCTCCCACTCTTTCTCTCTCTCTTCCCCCTTTTCTTCTCTTTTCTCACCTTTCTCTCTTAATTCACCCACCTCCCTCTCCCTCTCCTCTTTCCCACTCTCTCTCCTCCCTCTTTTTCGTCTGTCTACCCCTTTCTCTCTCTACTCCCCCTCCTCTCCCCCTCTCCTCTCTCCACCTCTCCTCCTCTCTCTCCCTCTGCTATCCTCTCCTCCTCTCTCCTCTCTCTCCTCTCCTCGTCCCCTCTCCTCCTCTTCCTCTCCTCTCTCTCTCCCTCTCCTCTATGCCTCTCCTCCTCTCTCCTCTCTCCTCCTCTCTCTCTCTCTTCTCCTCCTCTCCTCTCTCCTCTCCTCCTCTCTCTCTCTCTCTCCTTCTCTCTCCTCTCTCTCCTCTCTCCTCTCTCCTTCTCTCCCTCTCCTCCTCTCCTCTCCTCTCTCTCTCCTCCTCTCCTCCTCTCTCTGCCTCTCCTCTCTTTCCCTTTCCCCTCTTCCTCTCCTCCTCTCCCCTCCTCTTTCTCCCTCTGCTCTTCTCTCCCTCTCCTCTCTTTCTCTCTCCTCTCCTCCTCTCTCCTCCTCTCTCCTCTCCTCCTCTCTCCTCACCTCTCCTCCTCTCTCCTCACCTCTCCTCCTATCTCCTCTCCTTCTCTCTCCTCTCCTCCTCTCTTTCCCTCTCCTCTCCTTCTCTCCCTCCTCTCCTCTCTCCCACTCCTGTCTTCTCTCTTCTTTCCTCTCCTCCTGTCTTCTCTCCGTCTCCACATGTGAGTGTTTCTCTCGTCGTTGTCGCTGTGAGTGTGTGAGCTCTAAACACGTCTCTGTCGCTCACACACCTCCTGTTCACAATATGTTCATGCGTCTGTGTATATTTAGCACTGATCCACACGTGCAGCGTTTAGCCCAGGTTTAGTGTCACAGAAGCATGAGTTGGTGGTTCAATTCCATTATTATTAATTATTGCATCCTGGTGTTCAGCTCATTTTGAAGAATTTCTCATTAGCAAAAGTGTGAGGAGTGTCTGATTAATTCATGAAATGATTAAAGGAGCAATATGTGATTTTTCTGGTGGATTCCTGGCTGTAGAGACGTTATGGCTACAGTTTAATTCGGATTTTTTTTTTTTTTTTTTTATGAAATTCGATTTTTTTGCAAGGTCGTTCACATTTCCAATTAAATGTGACTTGTGTGTGATCTCCAGTGTGAACTTTAAACGCCTCAAAAGTGTCCCGCATGTGCACTGGAGAACACGGACACAAAACTCAACGCAAGTTTGATTATTATTTATATTCATCTTGACATCACCAATCAACAAAGATAACAGCCAGAAACACAAAGTTATCCAAAAGAAATATTTAAATCAATAACATATCTTTGTGCCTCTTCAGAGGAGAAGCTAAACAAAGGCATAGAAAATATCTAAAAATATATATACACACATTTCCTCCGTATAACATTTGCCGTTCTTGATGTCAAGCTAATTAAACATTTTTACACCCTTAAATAAATAAAATACACCCTTCAAAATAAAAGCTCTAAACGTAAACGTGAAAGTTAATGGTTAACAACAGAAAATAGAGTGCGATATAAAAGTAATTTTAAAATGTCACACGAGGTTTTAACTAAGACAAATTATACCCTGGGTTATTTACAGATGTTTAGGCCCTGTTTACAAGTAAGTATTTTATTTTTATTTTTTTTAACTGAGACATTTCCCTTTCGTTTGTACCCATCTTTTACACACAAACGGTGAATTTGCCTCTGAAAACAAATCTTTCTGAAAACTGCAGCTAGAGTGGAGATTTGGGAAAACTCCAGTTTTGTGTGTAAAGTGAGATAATCTTACGGAGTTTTAGGAGCTGACGTGTCAAAAGTGCGACCAGTGTTTCACTTTTGCTCTGATGATGATGAAACATTCAGAGCAGCAGTCGGATTTCTTCTGCTGCAGACACTTTTCATGTGTTTGCATTTGCACACAGCTGATGTTTCATATCCATAACCAGAGACAAATGANTTCTCTCTTAATTCACCCACCTCCCTCTCCCTCTCCTCTTTCCCACTCTCTCTCCTCCCTCTTTTTCATCTGTCTACCCCTTTCTCTCTCTACTCCCCCTCCTCTCCCCCTCTCCTCTCTCCACCTCTCCTCCTCTCTCTCCCTCTGCTATCCTCTCCTCCTCTCTCCTCTCTCTCCCTCTCCTCGTCCCCTCTCCTCCTCTTCCCCTCTCCTCCTCTCTCTCCCTCTCCTCTATGCCTCTCCTCCTCTCTTCCTCTCTGCTTCTCCTCCTCTCCTCTCTCTCTCTCTCTCTCCTCTCTCTCCTCTCTCTCTCTCTCTCCCTCTCCTTCTCTCTCCTCTCCTCCTCTCTCCTTCTTCTCCTCTCTTCCTCTCTGCCTCCTCCTCTCCTCTCCTTCTCTCTCTGCCTCTCCTCTCTTTCCCTTTCCCCTCTTCCTCTCCTCCTCTCCCCTCCTCTTTCTCCCTCTGCTCTCTCTCCCTCTCCTCTCTTCTCTCTCTCTCCTCCTCTCCTCTCTCTCTCCTCCTCTCCTCCTCCTCTCTCCTCCTCCTCCTCTCTCTCTCTCTCTCTCCTCTCTTTCCCTCTCCTCTCCTTCTCTCCCTCCTCTCCTCTCTCCCACTCCTGTCTTCTCTCTTCTTTCCTCTCCTCCTGTCTTCTCTCCGTCTCCACATGTGAGTGTTTCTCTCGTCGTTGTCGCTGTGAGTGTGTGAGCTCTAAACACGTCTCTGTCGCTCACACACCTCCTGTTCACAATATGTTCATGCGTCTGTATATTTAGTACTGATCCACACGTGCAGCATTTAGCCCAGGTTTAGTGTCACAGAAGCATGAGTTGGTGGTTCAATTCCATTATTATTAATTATTGCATCCTGGTGTTCAGCTCATTTTGAAGAATTTCTCATTAGCAAAAGTGTGAGGAGTGTCTGATTAATTCATGAAATGATTAAAGGAGCAATATGTGATTTTTCTGGTGGATTCCTGGCTGTAGAGACGTTATGGCTACAGTTTAATTCGATTTTATTTTTTTTTTTTTAATGAAATTCAATTTTTTTGCAAGATCGTTCACATTTCCAATTAAATGTGACTTGTGTGTGATCTCCAGTGTGAACTTTAAACGCCTCAAAAGTGTCCCGCATGTGCACTGGAGAACACGGACACAAAACTCAACGCAAGTTTGATTATTATTTATATTCATCTTGACATCACCAATCAACAAAGATAACAGCCAGAAACACAAAGTTATCCAAAAGAAATATTTAAATCAATAACATATCTTTGTGCCTCTTCAGAGGAGAAGCTAAACAAAGGCATAGAAAATATCTAAAAATATATATACACACATTTCCTCCGTATAACATTTGCCGTTCTTGATGTCAAGCTAATTAAATTTTTTTTATACCCTTTAAATAAATAAAATACACCCTTCAAAATAAAAGCTCTAAACGTAAACGTGAAAGTTAATGGTTAACAACAGAAAATAGAGTGCGATATAAAAGTAATTTTAAAATGTCACACGAGGTTTTAACTAAGACAAATTATACCCCTGGGTTATTTACAGATGTTTAGGCCCTGTTTACAAGTAAGTATTTTATTTTTATTTTTTTTAACTGAGACATTTCCCTTCGTTTGTACCCATCTTTTACACACAAACGGTGAATTTGCCTCTGAAAACAAATCTTTCTGAAAACTGCAGCTAGAGTGGAGATTTGGGAAAACTCCAGTTTTGTGTGTAAAGTGAGATAATCTTACGGAGTTTTAGGAGCTGACGTGTCAAAAGTGCGACCAGTGTTTCACTTTTGCTCTGATGATGATGAAACATTCAGAGCAGCAGTCGGATTTCTTCTGCTGCAGACACTTTTCATGTGTTTGCATTTGCACACAGCTGATGTTTCATATCCATAACCAGAGACAAATGAGGCTCGGAGGTCAGCGATTTTGACACTTCTTTAACAGATCTGTGGAGAGGCGAGCCCGCTCAGTAATGCACGTTTTTCAAGGTATTTGTACGGTGGCCGACGGGGGCCAAACGCACTGCAACAGCTCAATGTGTCTCATTTAGAGTAAACAACTTCAAGTACAGAAACGATGCAAATTCACAGGGTCAAAAACAAGTTTAAACGAGGTACAAACAAAAAAAGTGGTGCAAATGAAAAAAATGCGCTGCAAGAAACAAAGACAAATGCATCATCATCAAATGCGCTGCAAATAGAGAAACGATGCAAAGCGCGAAACAATGAAAACCAAGAAAACACCTGCAAAAGAAAAACGCTGCATAAAGAGTCGCCAACGGAAGTGCTCCAAACCTGCAGGGGGCGCTCAGTAACAGTGTCCGCGGACCGCAAAGGCCGTGCTGAAATGAGACAGGTGTAGTTATTTTATTAGATGCTAACGCTAATGCTAACAACAGGCACCACACAAATTACGTACAAAAATCGGTAAAAACATTACGCATGGGTACTCAAACTGTAGGAGACCAAGTTATTCTAATAATTCTCATCCAAATCTTATGGCTGAAAGCGAAAACTTATGTTTAACTTTTGCAAAAACAAAATGGTTTTATTTCTGGGATACATCTAAAATAGACTAAATGACCTTAAAGCTTCAAAAACTGTGATGGGATATGCATTATGAAGTATGTTTCTATTGATAAGTGATT